ACATGATTATGTGATCAGTAGTTGTAAGTGCTGTAGTCTGTGGGCCGGATTCGGGTCGGGTCAGACTATACCTTCTAAAAATTCCCTTTGGGTTGAATCCGGTCATGTTTGTGCCAATAACAACAATGATCATTAGTTGAATTAAATGCAAACCGTAGTCTGTGATACAGAACACCTCACAAATGTAAATTACCATAATTTTTATTGTCTGTAGCTTCTAATGCATTTATTAAATATAATTATGTTTTATATATTTTTTTATCGAAAGTGGAAATTCTGGTTGTCGGGTTGGGGCCGAAAACAGCTGCAATGGTTGGGGCTCGTGTCAGGTTTGGACCTGATAGTGTTAGCCTGTTTATAGACAATAGAGAGTGCTGTGTTAACATGGAAATGTTTCAACAAGTCCGCACTTGAGACAAGTTAGAAATGTGTCCATTACATTTTTTACAAATAACCACATTTTGCCTTCATCCATGTTGCTAAAGAAGCTACTTGTTCTTTCAATAACTGGCTGGTTAAAGTTAAAACATTTAATCAGGGCCAGTGGCGGCCGGCCCATAGGGGCGCTAGTGGTGCCGCCCCACCTCTTCTCCACATTCTAGATTGTCATTAAGAAAAAAAATGTTTTAAATTAATTTTATGCATAATATTTTTAATGAACAAGGTACATATTATAGTTGGTGTCAGTTAAATCTATAATCTACAATAGAATATCTATAACAATTGTTTTACGATGTCTAAAGTTACTGATAAGTAGTGGCAAACCGTGTCTATCACAACTGGACCTCTGTAGACACACACACACCCTCCGCCGCCAAACTGTCAATCGAAAGGTATGCTCTCATTCAGTGCAACGGCCAGGGCATTCTATCAAGGATATAGAATACCTTGGTTGAAGGATATTCTACCCAGAGACCCAGAACAAGATCTGATTGGTTGCTTTTTTTTTCTAACACAAAACCACTGAAATGCGTATTGCATGGACCGAGAAGGACAAACAAATCAACGTAACACTGTAATATTACAGATCAACAACACATATACGATTCTCATTTATTAATTTTCTGCACATTTTATTACATTTTATTTATATAATTAAATCGATTTTTTGTTTTATCTGAGTGTTCCAGGGTATTCTCTGAATACCTTGAAGGCCCTGACGGTTCGCCACTGCTGATAAGTGACGTGTTTCCTGCTTGGGGTGCAGAAATATTTGCCCATAGAGTGGTGCAGTGACGAGTCCTAAAACCCGGAAGTGAGTTAGCATTTTACCACTTCCGGTTCCCTCGTCTCAGAGTCAATGGGACTTCTCCATAGGATTTTGGAAAATAGCTCGAAATAAGGACTGTGGTTGACACAAATTTATGAGACAGATCACGTTTTGTTATACGACATTAAATACATCAGCAGTGACCCCGCTGGTGATTTTTGAAGTTTACGTGTCTGAAAAATTATGGTTGTTAACAAGTGGCTGAATAGGACTACAGAGTTGTCGAGGACGTTGTACGTCATTACGCCGAACACGTAAACACTCTTGCAAACTGTTAAAACAAACACTTTTTGAATATGGATCTTAAGTTGGCGTGACGTTGAAGTCATGCGACCCTACTGTACTCGGCTGTAGTTCGTTTATAGTATAACGTTAGCATTTTCCTTGGGGCGATTAGATTTAAGATTAGAAAATTATAAAAGTAGGGTAGACATGTGGATATTATCCGGCTGAACAAAACGTGCATTCATCAAACAGGTTCGTTTTCCACAGACCTTATTTCGAGCTATTTTCCAAAATCCTATGGAGAAATCTCATTGCATTTTTTACGAGGGAACCCATGCGCAGTTTACTTCCGGGTAAATACGTCATCCCTGCACTACTCTACTCCAGAGCCATATAATAGAAGAGTTACGACAACGGAAGTCCAAAAACGGTTATCGTCACGTGGTTCATGTAGAAGAGGATCGTTCCCCGGAAGTTCATGGCGGGCAACGTGAATGCATTGATAACAGGAGATAGAACTATGATTTTTGGTAATTATTAGTGAATAAAGGTTTTGATTTGCAATATTTATACAACAAATCGATATGTGTATGTATTTACATCAATATGTTTTAAAAAATAAAATAGAATTTGCTAATATTAAGTGATAATATTAGGATTAGTGTGAACAACTAGTTTACATGTTAGGCTAACAGTGCCTTGGTTAAAGAGCCTGTTGCTGTTTATTTATAGCTTTGAATTCTTTAAAACCAATATTATCTTCTTAAACTTGTATGGTAGTCAGGAGCATCACTTTCTAATGTTTATTGATATATTTAGAGGGAGGGGATCTAAAGTAATGCTTTAAAATTCAGATTAGATTAATGTCTACCATTTTCTTAAATTCATGGTAGTTTCAGTAATCCCATGGTAATTGAGGACACAAGTTATCTAAATGACTAATGTCATCTTTATGGCTTTCAGAAAGGACAGGAGACCGACAGGTGACTATCAAAGGACTAGCAGCAGCAGCATGATGATGATGATGATGATGATGATGTTAAATGTGTTGTTTTAGGAACATCCATTGCAAATACATGGAATTCAATAAAGATTGAATAGCATATCATGCAGTTTGTCTGTGCCTTTTCCTCCTTGTTGTCCTGGTTTGCTGTGCTGCCTCCTAGTCGCCACCATGGTTTGCTGTGCTGCCTCCTAGTCGCCACCATGGTTTGCTGTGCTGCCTCCTAGTCGCCACCATGGTTTGCTGTGCTGCCTCCTAGTCGCCACCATGGTTTGCTGTGCTGCCTGGGGATGCTCCAATCGCTCAGAGAAAGGAGTACGAATGTACAGCTTCCCCACTGACACAGAGCGGAGGAAGCAGGAGCAATTTCACGACCAACAGCAAACAAATATGTGATTTATATACAAACACTGCATTTGCACTTTTTCACAAAACGAAAACCACACCATTGGGAAAGCTTAATGTTTTGTTTAATACAAAAAACAGGGAAAGGCTTGAAAAACACTGAGAGTTGAGACTCAGGGTGCAGGGTGAGGGTCTCAGTGCAGGTATTCAGGCTCCATTGAATCCCCCTCTGGTTCTTGTGCTGAAAGAGGGATAAACAGACAGGAGAAAGGGTTATACACACCTATATAGCACACCTATTGGATGGGAAATTGCCTTGGGGAGATAAGGTGTGGTCTTTGTTCCCAACTGAAGTTATGGAACTTTATTATTTGTGAGTTTAACAAAGTATGACAAATGGCATCAGTAACATATGTGATATGAATTTCTATAAAGTTGTCTCACATTCTTGGTCATATTGTATATACAGTATGTAATGAGTATAACATGTCCAGTAAGTATAAAGTGTTTCCTAATACTGTGTATTCAACCACTATGGAATATGTATGTGGGCAGACAAAACTGAGTTGTTCTGTGTGTGAAGTAACCTCAAGTCACTCCGCAGGCACATTTTGATGCAGACCAGTTTGTCAAGACAAAAAAGGGCAAGACTAGGCTGAGAGCAGAGGCTATACCCACCATCTTCGTGCATCGCCCTGTGGTCAAAAAGAGAAGGGCCCCTGCACCACGATTCACCCCGGGACCTGTATCTACAAAGCCCATAGCCCATGATCACAGTGATAGTGTGAAAGGTGACACAGGTATAATAAGTATGAACTCTTAGTAACAAAAATAATATTTCTTATTTTTAAGTGGTATAATATTTTAAATGTTCGAACATTTACAGTACCATTTCTTCTACTTACATTAATCTCAAAGATTGAGGGAAGAAGGGAAGGGATCACTGCCCTCCACCTGCCAGAGGAGCGCAAACAACAAAAACAAGCAAGGTGTCCCGTCATGTACCTGGAAGTTTGGGTTGGCAAAATGGAGTAAGAGAGGGACTTAAAACCTTGGTGGCTGTCTACTCATGTTGTTACAGTTGTCTTGGTTACAGCTCTCAAGTTTTTTTTTGTGCCATTTCCACATCTTTAGAAAATATGAAAAAATTGAAGTGAAATCAACCTCATCTCTGGAGAACAAACTTTGATTTCTCTGTCTTGTGAGTTTGCAGTCTTGCAGTTTTGCTCCTCCACCTGTAACATCACTGCCCCTCCACCTGCCATACAGTAGGTTACTAACAAGATTACTTATATAATACAGTGATATAATACATGTTTAGTATGCTTACTTATATAAAACAGTAGTATTAAACTTACCTTGTGTGTTCACTCTCACTTAAGTCCCTCTCCCTTTGCCATCAATCCAAAATCAGCTGAGCTTCAACATTATACACACAGGTAATAATCAACATAATCACAAGGACACAATATGGCTCTGCTAAAAACACTCACTCTTACACGCACCAAAGTTATATTTATCTAATATTTAACTCCCTCCACCCCCGCATACAATCCCGTTTAGAGGCCCCTCTTCTCTAATTCAACAACGTTGGACCAAATAGACATTAAGAGAACGGAATTTACAATTAAAAGGCTGTTCAACGTGTGTTGCTAACTTGCTTCGGTATCCTAGCTTGATCTGTTATCTGTAAACGTTCCCTAAATCTACTAATTTAGGGATAATCCACTGACATCCTTTAATACACATGTTCAATTGAATCAGATGTACTGATAATATCCGCAATATAAATCTTTAAACTTCTTCTTACCTTTAAAAGTCCGTCACGAACGGTCTATTATGCTGCAACTCCACAGCTCTGCTAGCCTTGGCGCTAACTTCCGGGGAACGATTGAGAGGCTCCACGATTTGCCATTGCTGTAAAAAAGTGGTCCATTGGAGTGAACGGAGATGTCATAACTCTTCTATTATATGGCTCTGCTCTACTCTATTGACTCTCGTTATAAGTGGTGCACCACTCTTCAATGCAAGTGATAGGAGCAGCTCGGGTGCACCAAACTGCGCCCAAAGCAGCTGTTGACACCGCCAACAACTAGGGGGCAGCAGGAGCGCCAGAATGAGTGATTGACGTTTGAATGAGAGAGAGATAGATGGAGACAGAGTGTAAACAAAACTAGATAGCGAATATGGAGAAGGAAAATTATGTTTAATCACATAAAGAAACACCCTTTGAGAGGAGGATACTGGAGGGAAAGCTGAGAGTAAAAGAGCTCGGACCTGATCAGCCTGACATAGGCAGGAGTTAAGGACAGAGGAAGGCAGTATACGTGCTCTTTTTCAAGGACCCATGGTTTAGCAAGAAGGCTAACTACTACCTGTAGCAACACCAGTGCTATATTTTGCATCCCCTGCCTCCCTTTCCAAACGTCAGGATCAGACCAGTCTATGGACCAGACCCAGCATGGATCCAGACAGATGTGAGTGACTTAAAGCACATATCAGAACAAACTAAAAAGCATGAAGAAACTAGAGTCCACATGGATAATGCTATGCGACTAGCCATGTTTAGGAAAGTAAACACAGCTGTCCAATGAAGGCTATCAGTAAGCATAACTAGAACATGCATTTCCTGCTGAAAATGCGTGTGAATGCTGTAAATGTATACATTTGTTGCTGAATTTAGCTGAAAATGCAGAAAAAGCTGAATATTTTATTAGTTGAATGGTCTCTGTAAATTACATTACATTAGATGTTACTTGTTAGACGCTTTTATCCAAAGCGACTTACATATTCAATCAGGGCCGCCCCAGGCCAACTTGGGGCCCCAAGCGACATTGTGAGATGAGGCCCCCCCCCCCCCCCAACCGACAGGAGTGAAAAAAAAATGTTTGGAAACAAAGTAGGCTACTTTGCAAATATAATTCCTGTTTATTATTATTATCAACACAGTTACTTGTTTATACAGTGAGGTAAATGTGCATGTATGTCGTTCAGTATGCGTTTACAGGTGAATACGTCTGCATTTCCTGCCAAATACTAGCCTCAAAAAGATTAAAATATAATTAATGCAAATAAACTACTTCTACTAATAATAATCATAATCAATTCAATAATATAAATACTATATTATTTTATTATAATATAGTTGTAATATAGTCAAGACAAAACATGCTTATTACATGCTCAAAAACTGATATTTCTTAAATCTGTATTCAAATGTAGTTCCCTCTGTCAGCAATGTATCAACAACTACACACACATTTCTATCAGTATTTCTCTGTGTTGTGGTTGACATGATGATGACTGTTAGGAGTTAAGGGGAGAGGCTGAGCATCACCAGGAAATGTGCAAATTGACATACAAATTAATAAAAGGGGAAAAAATGCTCCAGGTTTTTTAGGCTGTAAACTTTAACTGTTATTAAAGCCAACTAGACAGACAGTTTATCTTCCTCCTGTACATTAGCAGATAAAAGGCATAACATACTTGAATGAATGGTAAATAAAGAATGCTGGAAATAACTGCATCTCCATTAGCCTATATGCTATGCAGAGCCTGCCTTCTTCATGTCGTGAATTGCAGCAGATGTTTTAATATGGGAATTGGCAATTTGACTTAAGGCCCTGACACACCAGGCCGATTTCGGCTGTTTTCGTAAGTCGGGAGACGAAGCGTGTCCTGTCGCCCAAACTCAATTTGGTGTGTCCCGCACCGTCGACCGTGACACGCCTTATTTGGACTGCCTGTCCCGATGCATGGCCGATTCAACATGTTGAATCGGCCATGCATCGGGTCTGGCAGTCGGACCAAACAATCACTCTGATTGGCTGTTCAGCTAACGAATCAGTGCATGAGAAGCGAAATGGAAGTGAGGGACGTAAACAAATGATTTAAGAAGGCACACACAGACTGATATTCATTTTCATCTCATCATGGCGATCTGGAATGACGCAAACGAAGACCTGCTCATCACATTGATCCAGGAGAGGCCAGCTCTGTACGATATCACTGAGAAAAGGTACTCGAACCGAGTAGTGAAAACCGGACTCTGGCGAGAGATTGAAACGCAATTTGGTTTCTCGGGTAAGATTATCTTTTTCATCAATTGAGCTCTTTAGCAGATATTGTTGGCTTTTTATTGTTTGCCAGCGTACAGTGACGTTAACGTGAAATGTAATTTGTTATTTCAACCTTGTGTTTTGTTGTTATCTTGTTGCTAGCTGTTGCTAGCTGTGCAGTTTGGCACTGCATATAGATATGAATTGGACATGCTAACTAGCCACAATGCTTACATCGTTTATTTGTGTGCTTCAGAGAAAGAGCTGAGGAAGAAGTGGGATTCTCTGCGAACCCAGTACACCCGGTACAGGAGACTTGCCCCTTCGGGTAGTTGTGGAGCACCAACGACGGGCAGACAGCAGTGGATCATAACCAGGCTGCAGTTTGCACACGCTATTTGTTGTTGTTTATATCACGCAGTCTGTTCTTCTTCTCTGTCTTCCGGTTGTTGCCTATTTTTAATGACGAATACACACTACCGCCGCCTGCTGGTAAGGAGAGTTATTGCCACTCACGCACTGAAGTCTTTGCGGTGTGTTCCCGTGCGACACATAGCCAAGACGCAGGAGAACACCGCGACGCAACAGCCGACGTTGACGTCGGCGTCGGCGAGTCCTCTGGTGACTGCTTGGTGTGTCAGGGCCTTTATACAACATTCGCAAGTTGTACATTTGACTCTTACAATAACCCACCTTCGAGTGATGCTCTAGTTTCTTCATGTTTTGTTTTTTGTCCCTCTTGCTTGCGCCGGACTGAAACTGTCTTTTCACCGACATCTCTTCACCTGCACTAGTGGCCGTATCAAAGCCGTGATTGGTCAGATGTCGATTCATTGCGGTGTCGGGTTACAGACGTGCTCCCCTTGTCACCTCTCACTCTCGCGTGTCAGCGGGGGGTGCGCGGAGAACTGCGCACAGCAGCTGAGGCCCTCTGGGCGGGGCCCTCTGGGCGGGGCCCTCTGGGCGGGGCCCCCTGCAAGGCGGGGCCCCATGCAGCCCGCGTGATTGGCCTCTAGGGAGGGGCGGCCCTGTACTCAATACTGTGAATGCTGTGCAACAGCATTCACACTAATTAGGAGGTTGACAAAAACAGGCACTAAAATAATAGACTGTATCAAGTGCTGTGTGCCTTTGAGCTAGTCCTGCGTTGTAATATGACATATGTTTTGAGTTTTTGAAAAGTATAAGTTTGCTTACATTTTGGTAGAGTCCCCGCTGGACCAGCCGCCACTGATCAGGGCCATTTGCTTCCAGGGGTTAGTGAGACTTCACACCAATGCTTGAAGTTAGGAATTAGATGTTACGAATACACTAAAAGGAAGGACAATTAAAATAAAGTATCCAAACACTACCTTGCCATATTGACATTTTAATCAGCTCAGAATCACTATGAAAGATATGTGCGATATAAAAATAAACACCACATTTCTACATTGACTATGGATCTTGTGAGGACAGGAAATTAATAGGCTATGTTTTGCAATTGAACAGGCCCTTTTCATCCATCCTTATCCAGAAATATAGCTTCCAACAGGTGTTAGATCACTAGCAGGGTCTATTTGCTCACTCTCCTCTTCCCTCACGAGGTCCATTCACCCTTTACTTTCTTGCTTTGTTCTCATCTGACATTCAACTCCTTGCTCCATCTACCATTACCATTCTGTTCACTGAACAGATATTTGAACTAATGAGAAAGATATAAAGTCAGAAGATGAGGCAGTATTCACTCTGTAATGAGTCTGCATGTGTATGCTTGTGTGGGTTTGTACCATAGACTGTATATATAAATGGACGTAGTGTCCGTGACGTCACCCATAGGATTCTGCAGAGTTGCCGTGCTAAGCTAACATGAAATACATGCATACCAAGTTACTGCTAACAGTGTAGTTCCCCTATATAAACGTTACATTCATAATCAAATGAGACAATCTGCAAGAGAATTAGCTATATTTTATTATTCTTAATGCTTGTCATTCACACGTTGAGAAAAGACGGACTCCACCGCCCGGACCTAACGGAGCCGCAGTGGGCTAGCTCCGGGACGCCAGCTGGAGCTAGCCCCCTGCGGCTCCGTTAGCTCCGGCGGCCACCACTGGGATAATTGGGTCCCCTATTAACATTTGCTCCCGTTTAGCATTATGGGCGTCATAGCCATAGACTATAAAAGTCTTACCCAAGGCTGAATCATAAACTAAAATGTATATGTATGCATAAAGGGTTACGTCCTTAGCTGGCTAATAAGTAACAAGCTAAGCTACCAAGCACACAAACACCTGCGAACGGGTGTCACTACCCGATCTGCAGTGCGCATGTGCGAGATGGTCCGCCATATTGGACAACGCCGGACGGCAACCGAAGTAGGACAACATTGACACAGTTGCTTTTGGCAAAGCTCAAAAGGAAAACTCGAAAGAGATTAGTTATTGTTATTACAACGTGACTTCACTATTATTTAACAACTCTTTTTATTGGGTTCTTTTATTTGGGGTTAAGTACATTGTCAGAATAATTGAGAAATGAATTTAACTTCTGTTAGACAGCTATATGCCATACATTTTTGCACACATTCACAGTAAATATGTATTCAGTACATGTAGCCCCTATCGTTGTAGCCTAGCAGAGTGGACAAGTTGCTGTTAGCTGACAGTGAGGCATGTACGTGTCCATCAACGTGACCACGCCCTAATTTATGCAAAAACTTTAAGACCTAATATAAATAAAAGGGTCGTGTTAGAAAACAATTCACTCACAGATTCATAATCATGAAGGTGGAATCTAACTATATCGATATTAATATTTATTAGATCCATGGGTAGAAACATGTTTTTTTCTGCTGTAAAGTTGGGCATTTTAACATGGGGGTCTATGGAAATTGCTCCTTTCTGCAGCCAGTCCCTAGCGGCCCATGTATGAACTGCAGTGTGTGGCACTTCCGTATTGGCTTCCCGGCTGTTCCCCAGAGTTTGCCGCTTGGTTTGTACATGTTTCTGAGTATATGCATTATCTTTGTGTATTTGTGGGCCTGTGTCAAGATTATCATATGTACAATGTGTGGGTTTTTTAGTGTTTTATTGATATCTATAGCTCAGTTTCAGCAGGATGTTCTTGGCCTGTGTATATATTTGTGTGTATGTTTGTGTGGGTGGATGATCATTAATGCAGAATAGGATTGAGATGGCATCCTGGTGGGTTATTTTTGTTTCTCTTGTTTATATGTTTCATTTTATTGTGTTTCTTGTCAGTTTATAGCATTCATAGCTTCTGTCGTTCAAGCAAACTCAGTGAGATGGCAGCATGGCCAGTCCTATGTTCAGAATGCGGCTAAAAATATATGACTGGGTTCAAATTCCTTTTTCATAAGAGTATAATGAAATGTCAGATTTTCTCCACACCTGATTTTCTTTTGCACATCTTTTCTG